GGTATTACTGACAGTCACTGGTAATGTTGGTATTACTGACAGTCACTGATATTGTTGGTATTACTGGCAGTCACTGGTATTGTTGGTATTACTGACAGTTACTGGTATTGTTGGTATTACTGACAGCCACTGGTATTGTTGGTATTACTGACAGTCACTGGTATTGTTGGTATTACTGACAGTCACTGGTATTGTTGGTATTACTGACAGTCACTGGTATTGTTGGTATTACTGAGTCACTGGTATTGTTGGTATTACTGAGTCACTGGTATTGTTGGTATTACTGAGTCACTGGTATTGTTCGTATTACTGACAGTCACTGGTATTGTTGGTATTACTGACAGCCACTGGTATTGTTTGTATTACTGACAATCACTGGTATTGTTGGTATTACTGAGTCACTGGTATTGTTGGTATTACTGACAGTCACTGGTATTGTTGGTATTACTGAGGCACTTGTATTGTTGGTATTACTGACAGTCACTGGTATTGTTGGTATTACTGACAGCCACTGGTAGTGTTGGTATTACTGACAGTCACTGGTATTGTTGGTATTACTGACAGTCACTGGTATTGTTGGTATTACTGAGAGGCACTGGTATTGTTGGTATTACAGTTACTGGTATTGTTGGTATTACTGACAGCCACTGGTATTGTTGGTATTACTGACACTCGCTGGTATTGTTGGTATTACTGACAGTCACTGGTATTGTTGGTATTACTGAAAGTCACTGGTATTATTGGCATTACTGACAGCCACTGGTATTGTTGGTATTACTGACAGTCACTGGTATTGTTGGTATTACTGACAGTCACTAGTATTGTTGGTATTACTGAGTCACTGGTATTGTTGGTATAACTGACAGTTACTGGTATTGTTGGTATTACTGACAGCCACTGGTATTGTTGGTATTACTGACAGTCACTGGTATTGTTGGTATTACCGACAGTCACTGGTATTGTTGGTATTACTGACAGTTACTGGTATTGTTGGTATTACTGACAGTCACTGGTATTGTTGGTATTACTGACAGACACTGGTATTGTTGGTAATACTGACAGTTACTGGTATTGTTGATATTACTGACAGTCACTGGTATTGTTGGTATTACTGATAGCCACTGGTATTGTTGGTATTACTGACAGTTACTGGTATTGTTGGTATTACTGAGTCACTGGTATTGTTGGTATTACTGACAGCCACTGGTATTGTTGGTATTACTGACAGTCACTGGTATTGTTGTTATTACTGACAGTCACTAGTATTGTTGGTATTACTGACAGTCACTGGTATTGTTGGTATTACTGACAGTCACTGGTATTGTTGGTATTACTGACAGCCACTGGTATTGTTGGTATTACTGACAGTTACTGGTATTGTTGGTATTACTGACAGTCACTGGTATTGTTGGTATTACTGAGTCACTGGTATTGTTGGTATTACTGACAGTCACTGGTATTGTTGGTATTACTGACAGTCACTGGTATTGTTGGTATTACTGACAGCCACTGGTATTGTTTGTATTACTGACAATCACTGGTATTGTTGGTATTACTGAGTCACTGGTATTGTTGGTATTACTGACAGTCACTGGTATTGTTGGTATTACTGAGTCACTGGTATTGTTGGTATTACTGACAGCCACTGGTATTTTTGGTATTACTGACAGCCACTGGTATTGTTGGTATTACTGACAGTCATTGGTATTGTTGGTATTGCTGACAATCACTGGTATTGTTGGTATTACTGACAGTCACTGGTATTGTTGGTATTACTGACAGTTACTGGTATTGTTGGTATTACTGACAGCCACTGGTATTGTTGGTATTACTGACAGTCACTGGTATTGTTGCTATTACTGACAGTCACTGGTATTGTTGGTATTACTGACAGTTACTGGTATTGTTGGTATTACTGACAGTCACTGGTATTGTGGGTATTACTGACAGTTACTGGTATTGTTGGTATTACTGACAGGCACTAGTATTGTTGGTATTACTGACAGTCAATGGTATTGTTGGTATTACTGACAGTCACTGGTATTGTTGGTATTACTGACAGTTACTGGTATTGTTGGCATTACTGAGTCACTGGTATTGTTGGCATTACTGACAGTCACTGGTATTGTTGGTATTACTGACAGTCACTGGTATTGTTGGTATTACTGACAGTCACTGGTATTGGTATTACTGACAGTCACTGGTATTGTTGGTATTACTGAGTCACTGGTATTGTTGGTATTACTGAGTTACTGGTATTGTTGGTATTACTGACAGTCACTGGTATTTTTGGTATTACTGGCAGTCACTGGTATTTTTGGTATTACTGACAGTCACTGGTATTGTTGGTATTACTGACAGTCACTGGTATTGTTGGTATTACTGACAGCCACTGGTATTGTTGGTATTACTGACAGTTACTGGTATTGTTGGTATTACTGAGTCACTGGTATTGTTGGTATTACTGACAGTCACTGGCATTGTTGGTATTACTGGCAGTCACTGGTATTGTTGGCATTACTGACACCCACTGGTATTGTTGGTAGTACTGACGGTTACTGGTATTGTTCATATTACTGACAGCCACTGGTATTGTTGGTATTACTGACAGTCACTGGTATTGTTGGTATTACTGACAGTCACTGGTATTGTTGGCATTACTGACAGCCACTGGTATTGTTGGTATTACTGACAGTCATTGGTATTGTTAGTATTACGGACAGTCACTGGTATTGTTGGTATTAGTGACAGTCACTGGTATTGTTGGTATTACTGACAGCCACTGGTATTGTTGGTATTACTGACAGCCACTGGTATTATTATTACTGACAGTCACTGGCATTGTTGGTATTACTGACAGTCACTGGTACTGTTGGTATTACTCACTGTCACTGGTATTGTTGGTATTACTGACAGTCACTGGTATTGTTGGTGTTACTGACAGTCACTGGTATTTTTGGTATTACTGACAGTCACTGGTATTGTTGGTATTACTCACTGTCACTGGTATTGTTGGCATTACTGACAGTCACTGGTATTGTTGGTATTACTGACAGTCGCTGGTATTGTTGTTATTACTGACAGTCACTGGTATTGTTGGTATTACTGACAGTCACTGGTATTGTTGGTATTACTGACAGTCACTGGTATTGTTGGTATTACTGACAGTCACTGGTACTGTTGGTATTACTGACAGTCACTGGTACTGTTGGCATTACTGACAGTCACTGGTAATGTTGGTATTACTGACAGTCACTGGTATTTTTGGTATTACTGACAGTCACTGGTATTGTTGGTATTACTGACAGCCACTGGTATTGTTGGTATTACTGACAGTCACTGGTATTGTTGGTATTACTGACAGTCAACACTATCTAGAAAGATATGAAATGTAATACTTAATACTTTTAAATTAATACTGATTATAATAATAATAAGAAGAAGAAGAAGAATATAGAAATATTAATATTTTGAATAATATTTTTAAATAGGTACTTAAAAACTAGTAAGTGCTCATACTGTTATGTTTTAATACTATTATTTATAATTATCATATAAATTTGCACTTGCTTAGTACACAGTGAAATCAGTAGGATTTTTTAATGGTATTATGATATTTAAGTAAAGCATTAAGAGATGTAGACCTGTGTTATGTTTGTGCATGAAATCTTGTCTCATGATATATATATATATATATATATATATATATATATATATATATATATGTAACACAAGCATGATTTACAAAGGATGATTCCTGCTAAGTAATTAGTGATTGTGTTGTTTTACCTGGAGATTACCTGGAGAGAGTTCCGGGGGTCAACGCCCCCGCGGCCCGGTCTGTGACCAGGCCTCCTTAGGTCAGTGTCCCAGGATGCGACCCACACCAGTCGACTAACACCCAGGTACCCATTTTACTGATGGGGAACATAGACAACAGGTGGAAAGAAACACGTCCAATGTTTCTACTCTTGCTGGGAATCGAACCCAGGCCCTCACCGTGTGAAGCGAGAGCGTTAACCACCAGGCCGCCAGAGCCTGGTTGGTTCTCACAGCTGCTTTAAGTAAATAGTTCTTACGATAACAGCGAACGAAAGACACACTTTACTAAACAAACTTTTACGGGAACAATAACTTTATATAAATCTTAACAGACTGGAACGTCACAAAGCAAAACTTGTTCTCCAGTGCGCGGGTTGCCTTCACTATAACAGTTGGTGTTTGTGGATGACTCGGTACTGTTGGGAGAGTCAGATGAGAAGCTGTAGACGCCACTACAAGTTTATGAAGGTGGTAAAAGCAAAGCGATAGAAAAATCTGTAAATATAGGGAATATAATATTGTAGAACAGGATGGTAGGAGGGAGTATAGAGTAAGTGAATGTATTCAGATACTTTAGAGTGGATGTATCAGATGCGTCTATGAGGGGGAACGTAAATCACTGGATAAATAAGAAAGAGTGAAGTATTAAAGAATCTATGAGAGGAAATCTACCGAAGAAAGCAAGAAGGGAAATGTATCAGAATATATTGACGCTGACGCTTTTCTGCGGGTGTACAGCAAAGTTCTCGAGTGAGGAGGAGGTTGGAGGAAGTGATTCAGGTCAGTATGTGGTGTCAGTGTTCTGTAGATAATAAATACAAGAAATTAGAAGTTGGTGTAGCATTACTGAGGTAAAATGAGATGGCTCAGTCATATAGAAAATATGAAGCATGAGATTGATTAAAATGGAACATTATACAAATTGAAGGTGGATGGAGAGAGGTATATGAGATGTCACAGGAATGGTTGGAAGGAAGGTGGGGAAGAAATAGGTAGTGAATTTATGATTTAACAGGCACGCCTGAGCATAAACACACACACACACACACACACACACACACACACACACACACACACACACACACACACACACACACACACACTATAAACACAAACATGATTTACAGAGGATAATTCCTGCTAAGTAATTGGTCATTGTGTTGTTGGTTCTCCCACAGCAGGGCAGAACGACTTAGCGAAGGCTGGGCAGGTGGAGACTGCTCAGACCATGTGCCACGTTGCTCTTGACGAGTGCCAGAAGGATGAGGGATGTCGTCCACTGCTTGACGGTGTCATGCTGTGGTGTGAGCACGCTCACTGTGAACCTGACCGCTGTCGTACCGCTCTGCAGGAGTTCTACCAGCGAGTTAGCGTCTTACGTCGTCTACAGGTGGCCTTCTGTGTTTGTAGGTGAGTTCTGGCTTGTTTTCTGTGTATGTTTAGCATTCTAGGTATTTTTCTATGTCTGTAGGTGAGTTCTAGGTGGTATTCTATATAGGATAGATCCTGCAGGATTTCTGACAATGATTGTCAAGCCATTGGCGTTACCTGAAACTTATCTGAAAGGCTAGGGCCTTTCAGGTAAGTTTCCAAGATGTTACAGATTTCCTGGATTGCTACATAGCCAACTGGATTAAATCGAAAGATGTAATGGGAGAAAAGCGACATCTTTATGAGTAAGGCACATACGTAATGCCTCCATAACTTTGCTGAGAAGGCAAGACGTTTCTCAATAACTCAAATCACTCAAATAGTGTATGAGTGTTTGTGTATATATATATATATATATATATATATATATATATTATATATTATATATATATATATATATATTATATATATATATATATATAATGTCGTGCCGAATACGTAAAACTGGTCAGTTAGCAAGAACTCATTTAAAATTAAGTCCTTTTTAAAATTTTCTCTTATACGTTTAAAGATATAATTTTTTCATTAATGTTAATGTAAAAAATTACAATTTTGCACCAAAAGAATCTTAGAAAACTTACCTAACCTTATAATAACAAGCGCAATTTATTTTAGCCTAACCCAACTAAATATATTTTAGATTTGTTTACAATAATTTAATACTAAACAAACACAGTGAAATATATTTTTCTCGTTAGGTTCAGAATGATTTTGGCGAAATTATTCCATACTCAAATTTTCGCTTGTCCTATATGGCAAGATGAGCGTTGCTATTTAAGCCAAGATGGCAAGTTCTGCCTATTCGGCACGACATATATATATTATATTATATATATATATATTATATATATATATATATATATATATTATATTATATATATATATATATAATGAAGGTTGTATTACTGCTACACACGACGGTGTACCACACAGAAGGGGGTGTTCTACCACACATGGGTGTTCTTCCACTCAGGAGGGGTGTTCTGCCACTCAGCAGGGGGTGCTCTGCCACACAGGAAGGGGTGTTCTGCCACACAGGAGGGGGTGTTCTGCCACTCAGGAGGGGGTGTTCTGCCACTCAGGAGGGGGTGTTCTGCCACACAGGAGGGAGTGTTCTGCCACACAGAAGGGGTGTTCTGCCACACAGGAGAAGGTGTTCTGCCACACAGGAGGGGTGTTCTGCCACACAGAAGGGGTGTTCTGCCACACAGGAGGGGGTGTTCTGCCACTCAGCAGGAGGTGCTCTGTCACACAGAAGGGGGCGTTCTGCCACACAGGAGGGGGTGTTCTGTAACTCAGGAGGGGGTGTTCCGCCACACAGGAGGGGTGTATCTGCCACTCAGGGGGGGTGTTCCACCACACAGGAGGGGGTGTTCTGCCACTCAGGAGGGGGTGTTCCGCCACACAGGAGGGGGTGTTCTGCCACTCAGGAGGGGGTGTTCTGCCACACAGGAGGGGGTGCTCTGCCACACAGGAGGGGGTGTTCTGCCACACAGGAGGGGGTGTTCTGCCACACAGGAGGGGGTGTTCTGCCACTCAGGAGGGGGTGTTCCGCCACACTAGAGCGGGTGTTCTGCCACACAGGACGGGGTGTTCTGAAACACAGGAGGGGTGTTCTGCCACACAAAAGGGGTGTTCTGCCACACAGGAGGGGGTGTTCTGCCACACAGGAGGGGTGTTCTGCCACGCAAAAGGGGGTGTTCTGCCACACAGGAGGGGTGCTCTGCCACACAGGAGGGGTGTTCTGCCACACAGGAGGGGTGTTCTGCCACACAGGAGGGGTGTTCTGTCACACAGGAGGGGTGTTCTGCCACACAGGAGGGGTGTTCTGCCACACAGGAGTGTCATGTGGGTTTTCGATAACGTGGATGGGGTAAGAATACTCACGTAGGCTGGTAGTACATATAATATAACAGAAAGTATGGGGAAGCACCAACAGCCGACCTGTCTCTCTCTGCTGGCTAACTACGACTGACTCACAGTGCCTATGGGTGAGAGGGTGTTTGAAATCCTGCTATGGTCAGCAGCAATATGAATACAGTCAGTGATTCATGCAGAGACGGGGGGTTTAGTGGAACCCAGGGTTAAAATGGTTAGGGTTTAAACGGGTTTACTGGGAAACTGGTACTATACTGGAGCCCCGGGACGCTAACATATGTCGCCCAAAAACCCAAAAAACAAATTACAAAACTGAGATGGCAGGTTTAAGTTGGGTGTTTCTATAAAATTTTAAATTACAAAACAAATTGAAATTAAAAACTTTACAAAAGAAAAAAAATTTTGGGAAATGGAAAGTTTTCAAAATGAAATTGTAAAAAAAACGGAAAAGCAATAAAAGGTTTTTAATATAGAAAACCCCATCGAATAAAAACTCAACTTTTGGTATTACCAATAGAAGTGAAAAAAAAAAAAATTTGATCGTTCAAATCTGAAATTCATTTTGATCTCGGATTTGGGGGAAGGAATATTTACAAAGAAAAAAGTTTTTTAACAAAAAGGGCGATTGGGTTGCAAAAAAATCTAGCTTTTAAAAACTCTCAGAAGGGGAGGAAACGTGAACAAAAAAAAAAATTATTAAAACACTGTTTTGTTGAAAACGGGTTAATTATTATCTATCAGGTTATTTACATTTAACCCCAACTCTGCTGGGGTTTGGAAAAGGGATATTTTTGCAAAATGGGTGTATCCTGGGGGGAAATCAAACTCTGTTGCACGGGGCTAATAATCCCTTGTTTTTGGGGAGGCAAATTTTAAATTGGGAAAGGAAAAAATTGTCCCTTGAGGATTTTTTCAATACCTGTCGTGCGTAGGGAAAAAACAAACTTTGGGTTGATCGTTGGGACTGAGTATCAGTTTGTAGAGAGTCGGGAAACATTTTTGGGGGGAATTGTCGAGTCTGTCACGTTAGTCGGGGTTTGGGAACATCATTATCATACATACGGGACTTTTATGATCTAGATGCGTTTTCTTTTTTACTGCCAGTACAAAATTTCTCAAACCCTTTTTTTTTATTACCAGTGATAGGGTTAACCCTACCCCAAAATTAAGGACCACAAATTTTTTGAAAAGCTTAGGCATTGCAAAAGGGTTAAAGTTAGTCGGGCTTAACTCTCAAACCCTTACTTTGTTTTGGGGGATGGTTTTGCTCGAGGTTTGGACTCTTGTAAATTTTCCCTGGGGGTTTAGGGAAAGGGGGTTCACGGTTCTTTTTTAAAAACATTTTGGGGCTAAGGGTACGGTTGCTAGGGAATAAATAAGGGTTGAAATTTTGGGGTTTGGATTGGGGGGGGGGGAAAAAAAAAAACAAATTTCAGGGGGGCCAAAACCGTTTATCTAAAACCATACAATGCAAAATTTGGGGGTTGTCACCTATAGAAACTTTGTAAGCAAAATTTATAGCACACGGCCCATTCGGGTTAAATTACCCCAAGTTTCACTTTTGGGGGTTTGGATAGTGGCTCTCAAGACATAAAGTACTTTTTTTTGGTACTTTTCCGCTCCCCCTTTGCTGGCAAGGATGTTTGAGGAAAAAGGGTTTGGTTTTAGAGATCTGGTTACAAGGTGAAAAAATTTTCAAAAATCTCATTACAGAATTCCCCACCATTATCTTTTTACTAGGGATTAGGGGGGGTGGCCGCAGAAAATTGCGTTTTTTAAAACGTTTTTAGTTTCTGTCTCGGCAGTCTTTCGAAATTAGGAAAAAAAAACTCCAATACTGGGGGAAATGGTCACCATAAAAACACAGATGTTTGTTCCCCTGGAGGAAACATTGGAAATTGTTAACAAATCAGCGCAATTTTTTTCCCCAAAGGGTTGTTAGGGGGGGGGAAATACACTTGGATTGGTTTGGGGCCCATTAGCATTACCTTTATGTTGCATGCAGACATACATTTCTTAAATACTCAGAAATATCAGTTCCCAAACGGGGCCCCAAAATTTTTTAAATTTGGGTTTGGTTTTACTGAACGATCCATACCGGGGTGGGGAAACCCTGGAAACACCCATCGTGAACTAGCTGTAAGGTTTCATTCACTAGCAAATGGGAATTACTAACGGGTATATTTCTTCTGCTAGGAGAAAACCCAATCGGCGGGTTCGATCCCAGTAATTCTTGGTTCATGCCCATTTCAGGTTGGGTGCTGGGGGCTTCACAGTAAGAATAAGATTTCCCTGGAGCGGGAATCGAATCACACCAGACCAAAAGGGGTTTTGTTCGTTGGCATTTTTTTCATCTTCAGCATTAAATAGGGGTTTGGGAATTTAAATATAAAAACATGTCGGGGATAAAGGCATTGCGACTTCTTTTGACTTCCAGGAAGGGTTCAAAGGTGGGATTGAACCTTGGAAGTCAAGGTCCACCCATTTGGCAACCTTCCATTTGGTTTTTTTGTTCGGAATAAAGGTATCGTGGGGCATGGTCTGTCAAAGAAAAATAAAAAAAAAGATTACTGAAAAATTAATGTTCGGAAGTGTTTTAAAAGACCTACTTTTGCTAAAGTTCTTGCTCATTTTACTGATAAATTTAAAGTTAAAGCCTTCGAAAGGGGACTCGGCTAGAAAAGGGAAATGCGTTGTACTTCCCCATCAGTCTTTGAGTAGTACGGCACTATGCCAATAGAAATCCCTTCAGTAGTCGATGGGAAGGGTTGGGAAAAATCGGAAATTTAAAAATTTGGAGCAGAGGTTGTTTTTTTTTAAAATTTTGGGAAATTTGCTTTTTTTGAGGAAAGGGCCCAAAAAACAAAGGAGCGATCTTTTTAAGAACTCAGGGAGCAGCTATGGAAAAAAAAATTGGAAATAAAAGATCTAAAAAAACCTGCTAAGCCCCCCAAAGGATCTTACGCATCAGCATTTTGGGGTGTTTGGAAAATTTTTACTGCTTTACTTTACTTTGGTCGTCGTAACCCCTCTAGGGAGTAAAATACGTGCCCAAAAAAAACTTAATTTCTAAATCTAAAAAATTGACTTTTTTAGACAGT